CTCAAAAAGGATGCAGCAGAATTGGAAACGGTACAGAGAAAGGCAACCAAAATGATCAGGAGTATGGAGCAGTTGCCATATCAGGACAGACTAAAAAGCCTAGAATGTTTTAGTTTGGAAAGGAAAGGGTTGAGCAGGGTATAATAGAAGTCTATAAAATCATCAAGAGTATAGACAGAGTGAACAGGGAACCGTAACTCACCAAAATACTATAACTATGGGGCACCCACTGAAATTAATAAAAAGACAGGTTTAAAACTAACGAGAAAAAGTCCTTTTTTATGCAGTGTATAGTTAACTCATGGAATTCCTTGCCATGGGAAGTGGTAAAGGCAGATGGGACAGCCAGATTCAAAAACAGACTAGAAAAATTCATGTTAGAGAGCAGTGCACTCTTATGGAAGGTAGAATGTGCTTGCATCTAGTGCTCAATACCCAGTGGATTGAGGAGAAAGACTCAGAATACAAAAGCAAAACTCTAGGTCAATGAAGACATAGAAGCCAAGATACTGTGAAGGACAGTTAGTCTGTAAAGTTGAAGATAGATTTTGCATGAACTTGCACAGTGTGTTATATCTCCTTATATAGATGTTCTACACACAGTAAAAATAAAATTCCTTCAACCAAGGGCTTAATATAAAATTAAGAACAAGAAGGCAGAGAAAATAAGTGAGATCTTACATTTTTAGAATCCTTCTCCAAAGCAGCATTATCTTGTAGCAAATCTATTAAAAACAAAGAGAAATGAACCCATCATATGCAAATCAAAAAGCCCAATGGGAGCTTAGTGAGGTCTCCCCACAATGACCTGAAGTTACTTTACCATCTATGTGCAACTTTGTGCATTAGAAGTAGCTGAACAATTTCCTCTTAAGATATTAAACAAAACATGATTTGTGCTTCTAAAGAGGTAGGGTAGTTTAGAATCATTTTATGGTTACAAATAAGTTAGATATTCATAGGTACAACTGAGGCCCCTTTAAGTCCCCTTGCAATTTACTTTAATGGGAAATCGGGGAGGGAGGGGGCAGCAAGCACAGAGGTCAGGTTTTTAGCCAATTTGTTTAAAATCAAAAAGCCTGATTATGGGATAAAAGTACAGCATTAGGTTCAGTAAGACTTCAGCTCAGATGATCCCAGAACATATTTCAAATATGTTATTCACATTATATACCAAGGATAGAAAAAACAGCCTAGCACTCAGGGCAGATGACTAGGGGTTTGTACCTCACCACCACCACTAGGGATGCTGCCAGGGCTTTGCTGGCCACAGTGGCAGTGACACAGTTGTCCTTGCCTGGCTCCACTGATTGAAGAAGGAGCTGGGCAGGCATGCAGCCACTGTGGCCAGAGCCAAAGCAACGCTGTGACAGGCTGCCCCTGTGGAAATAACTGCTAATGATTTAAGAGCCTGGAAAGAGCCAGGGCTCTTGAAGTGGTGGCAGGGGTAGCAGCAGGGCTCCCTGACAGTTTGCTGCTACCAGGAAGTCAGCTGCTCTCCCTCAAATCGGTATAGCTACACATAGTGCTACAAAACTGAGAAATTCCTTTATAAAAGAGGTACTATTTTGAATGGCTCTATACTCACTTGTTCCAGCACTACAAGGACATATGCAGTACTATGAATGTAATGCTTAAGATATGGCCTAGAAGTGAATACCCAAGTAACACAATGGGTCAAAGTTAATTTTGTGCTTTTGTTCCCCCTCCAAAACATATAAAAAGGGGAAAAAAAACCCCTATATATTGCTGGGTCTTCAACACTTTTGATAGTTCCATTACCCAATATAGGTATCTAAAAGAAATTGTTGTTCCAACCTGTGGCTGCTGCGCCCTTTTGAAAATCTGGTCCACAAAGCTGCAATTTTTTACTTTCACATTAAAAGTTTTCAACTAAAATCATTCCCAGTAATTAAAGTTTCCTACTCTGCATTTATGATTAAATAAAGCTGGAGTTTAGTTTCAATTAATTATCTGTGGTAGCATGGTTATTCTGTTTAAAAAAAATTACAGATTCTAAAACCTATGTAGACTCTTTCAATGTGACAGCACTGTTGCAAAACAGCATCTTTCAATTCTTAAAAGACTGTCAATTGAACAGTTAGATCCTGGCCACTGAAACAACGTGTTTACATTCCCTTGACTGTTGTACTACTAAATTCTTGCATCTGCTGTTAATACTTTGTGACAGAACACACATTTGTCTTTTAAACAGCTGCCTTTTATGCATGTTGAACTAGACTAAACATTGTAAAGGGATTTGGGGGTGGGGAAAAAACTATTCAAAAGCAATATAGAATTAGATTTTTGAATGCATGTCAAATCTAACATGATTTACAGGACAAAGGGATTCTTTTGTTAAACATTTTATAGAAGATTTCTTTGGCAATTAAATCCACTAGTTCTAATCTTTAAGTATTATATCTGGATGGCCTGATTGCAGTTTTGGACTCACTGTGCTGAAGAAAACAGGCTTGCAGGGCACGATTAAGGTTTAAAACCTTTTTCGGTAAATATGTATTTATGCATTGTTTATTTATTTCCTTATTTGCCGTCATGAAGTTAGTTAGAAATCTTACATCTTTACGAGTGACTATTGGATTTGATGCTCTTAGAAATAAATCTAAAATTATATCCCTATATTATACATGGGGGGTACAATCTACAGATCCCGTAATCTAAAATTTTAGAAGTACACCTAACCTTTAAGTGTTTCATAAAATGCAATCATCCACAGCAGTGGATTAGAACAGCAGTGATTCTCCCATCCTACTCGAGGAAAAAAGCTTAACTTTTGGTCAACACTACTCTGTATCGCTATGACAATTATACCAAAATATTAACCCATACCACGCAGTTAGACCTTTGGAAGCATCTCCAAAGCATAGCAGGTCTGCAATGATGATGATATGGCCCTCACAGGAATTGGGATCGATAGGCCCACTCCATATCAACTATTTCATTTTTTTTTAACATTTTGAAAAAAAACAAAAAAAAAAGAAAAGCAGAAAAAAGTCAAAGTAATCAACCCATACTTTTAAGGGTTTAGCAAAGACCGTCACATTACTTAACATATTGAAAGCAGAAATTAGTTACTATTAGTTACTTTGTACATTAGTTACCATCCAAAAAACAGATTCCCCAATTCTAGTTAAAATTTCACAATAATATGAAAAATATAAAAACTAATCAGATCTTCTGTCAAGAGCTTTTTTTCTAAGTCCAATGGAAGCATATGTATTTTGCTCACTACACAAGTTTTTCCTGCCACAATAAAGACAATTCAAACCCTCATTTTGTATGTCCAAATATTGCACAATTGCCTTGCTAGAACAGCTGCCTTTAACATGGACTGTCTCCTATCATATGCCTTATGCTTTCATTTCCTTCTAGATTGTAAAAGGAAGTGACTATGTCTTTAACAATGACCTTCATCCCCTTCTCTGAAAAATCTAACTAAGTTTCTTTACAACTGACTTACCCAATTTTTTAAAGTTTAGTATTACTGCGCTTTTGGGAAGGAATCAACTGAGCAGAGAAACATTTTGATTAAGAGAGATTTCCAGTGGGTTAGAGAGTCCTAAAAATAACTCAACCTTTAGTGCCAGAGATGGTAATTTAACTTAGAAATGTTCTTCAAGCTATGATGGAAAGGTAAATTTCATCATCCTCCGACTAGCAGAAAAGATAAATGAAATCTTTCTGTGAAGCCAGTATTAGCAAGGCTCTATAATTCAGCCAAGTTAGAAATATAGCTATTTATGACATCCCTGGAAAGGACCTGCTACAACAGTAGGAAAAAAATAAAAATTTAAGGATGTAAGTACCAATCTATCAGAAAGTTTCTGTTTTTTATGCAACTGCCATTAAACATTATAACAATCCTTTGTTGACTTTAATGAGAACTTAAAACAGTTTTTTAAATTGCAAGCGGATTGCAATCTTTTTTCATGAGATGAAAATTAAAAAGGGAATGGAGACAAAGGAGAAGCAGAAATGATCTCTAAGATAGCTGCCTCAAGCTATTTCAGAGGCACCTGTGCTAACTCTGAAACAAATTTCAAGTGTACAACTATCTGCATTTGTGTGATGCAGTAAAATCCCTGTTATCTGGGGTTTTACTAACTGCATTTCTAGTAACCAGAACTTCCAGCCGGCTGGACGTGGGAGGAGGGGAGGTGGGAAGCTAGCACGCAGCCACCACCACCCATCATGCTGTGCTGCCATCCACCTGACCCCTGCTCTGCAGGCAGCCACCGTCACCCCCGCCACCCTGCATCCGGTTGGAAACCCTGTGCCCTCAGGTAACTTTTTTTTTTTTTTTTTACACTACCAGCACCCCCCCATTCATGCCAGATATCAGGGATTTTACTGTACTATGTTGCTCTCATTTCTGCTTTTACAAAGGTTACTTCTATTTAATATGAAGCCATGGAACAAGCTA